GTCCAATCTTTATCACATATCTTCCCATATTTGATATGATTTCGGATTTGGGGAGTTTTTCCCAATTTTTAGGGCTTTGATTTACTCATGAATTAGATGTTGTTAGGAGTAATTTCTTCAAGATCTATGGTTAGATAAGTAATTACAACAAAACCCTATGAACAATTTGGACTATTACACAGATTACACAGATCCGATCTCGATCTGTCAAGAAGTTCATACTACTCGGCGAGTATGTTGTGTACTCGGCGAGTAGGTCACAATAAGATTAAAATTTTTCCTGTTTTAATTACTGGGTGTTGTTTGTTGCTGTGTTTTTGGTATGTTTATGCAGATAGCATGGCAAGAAGAGGTCAATCATCACGTGGAGGAGGCCTTGGTGATATGCCATGGTTATCCTTTCAACAAATCACCTCCAAATCCTCCAAAACTCGAGCCCTAAACAGGTTGGAAGCACTGCGACAGAAAGAAATCCACTTACCGAATGCAGTGGATTGGGGATGGATGGGCAATGTTGGCTTGGAAGAGGAACTTACTCCATATTTGGTGAAAGATTGTAACTTGGGGTATGCCAACATCACTTGTGATGGTTGGTTGCAATTGTTCAAAATCCAAGAGCCAGTATACGCGGAGTTGTGCTGGGAATTCTTTGCTACCATTTCATTCCACGGTGGTAGTGAGTTTTACAATCCTAACACGATCTCGTTTTCTTTGGGTGGGGAGCTGCGACAATGCAGCATGGTTGAGTTCTCTTGGCGGTTGGGCATCTACGATCAAGACATGTCGATGACGGATTACTTTGAAGCCTTCTTGGAGAATACCTACAAAGAACTTCCCGAGGAGGTGGTGGCATCGACATGGTGGAGTACAATTGCTAACCGGGTCTACATACCTTCCACTGCTCAAGAAGGTCATATCCGTTCTCCAATCCACCGACTCATTCACCGGTTCGTTGCAAGCACGATCAACATGCGGAAGGATGGGGACAAAGTTCCCACCCTTGATATCTTTTACTTGTGGAGTATCATCACTCCCGACGTCTTCTGCAACCTCCCGTACTGCATTGCTAAATTTCTTGCGGAGGGGGCGGTCAAGGAGAAGATAAACTCGAAGATCAATGGGGGCATGTTCATTACTCGGCTTGCGAAATCATTTGGGATCTTGGATTTGCCGCAAGCTCAAGCGCCGACGATTATCCACCCTCCTCCGTTCAACATTGCACTTTATAGGAGGGCTCGGATAGTTGAAAATTTTGGTGATTCTTTTACTATCCCGAATGAGGATGAGCCGGCGGTCCCCGAGGAGCCGGGAAGGCGGGTTAGGCCAAGGAGCGAGCAGGTACGGGAAGACCCACCGGTTATTCCGGTGGAGGATAACGAGGGTTGGAACCAAGTGGAGTACCGACACTACTTGGATGATATTGGGCGAGGGGTTAATTACACCAATCAATCCTTCGAGTATCTTTTCCAACAAATGCACATTGCCCCACGACCTGGACCCGGCTACCCGTATATTATGGATTGGGACGAGAGGATGCGAAGAAGGGGTGGAGAAGGAGGTAGTGGAGCTGGAGGAGCCGGAATGGAAGAGGAAGATTGAAGATTTTATTTTATTTTGTTTTGTTTTGGTTATGATGTTTGTTTTAAGACAATTGTGGACATGTTGAATTTGGCTATGTGGTTGAAATATTAGTGTTACTTTTAGTTTTCTTTTCAGGTATTGAAGCTAGGAAGCATGCTAATTAGGAAGGGTCAAGAGAGGAATGAGAGTCTTTATGAGTGATTGTGGAGTCTTGTTCCTAGGATTGAGTCCGTACGAGTCGAGAGTTTTATGAAGTGTTTCTGCTTAGGAAATTCACGGGAGAGTACATTTATATTTCCATGTCAACACCAAGTAAAGAGAGACAGCGGTTCAAAGAGTTCTGGAAATATAAGCCCTACTCGCCGAGTGCACTAACACTACTCGGCGAGTACATCTGCTTTTGCACGAACTGCTTTGCCATCGAGTTCTACTCGCCGAGTTTGCTCACCTACTCGCCGAGTAGCCTGCTGCAGGAGGAGTTTCTGATTTGCTCTGGCTAGTTTTTCTGCACCATTCATATACTCTTTATGAATTACTACTGAAGATTGTGCAACAACCCTTTTCCTTGGAGTTTTTCGAGCTATCAACCACACGAGACGTATGACGCCCGTGCCATGGATGAGTTGTTCCCATGGTTAAAGTCACTAGAAGAAGGAGTTGAAGAAGAGAGTGTCAACCTAGCGACTGCTACCTCAGGGGAGTTTGTTCCAACTTTCTCTCTATTTGCATTTTTAGTTGGTATAATATGCAATGAGGGCATTGCATAAAATAAGTGTGGGGTAGGGGGTTAGTCACATCTTAGAACACTTAGAATCTTAATTTAGGCTAATTTTTAAAAAATTTGTTGCATACCAAAAATGCTTAGGTCTTAAATTAGAAAATTTTGGTAAAAAATTAGGATTCCATATTAGAATTGTGTTAATAATTGCATGAAGACCCAAATGTTTAGTTGAGCCTATATACGTTCTAGTGCATTTGTGGCTTCCTTATTTCAGTGAAATCATGAGACAAAAACACGACCTTGCTCAGCCTGAGGGATGCAATATGTTTAGCAGCCTAAACCTGAAATGTATCCAGGAAAGTTTTTATCATTAGCCAATAAAGGTTGAGATTGAGCGCCCCTGCTTAAGCATGTAGGGATTTGAGTGAAAAAAAAATGAGGTACATGTAATAAAAAAAAAAAGAAGAATTACAAGAAAAAGTTATAGGAATTTTGGAACAAATGAAGTGAAGATCTAAAGATCAAAATTCCAAGAAATCCAAAAAGTTGAAGATACCAAAAGTCAATACAAGTTGGTGAATTCAAAGATATCAAAGATCAAATGTCAAGAAAATGAAGAATTCAAAGAGTTCCATAGTGGTATCGAAAAGCTGTAATTCTAGAATATGTGTGCTTGGGTTGCTCAATTAAAAATACCTTGAGGGTAAAGAGATTTTCTGAGGATGGATTCGGAGGGTTGCATAAAATGAGCATAGTTCGGGGTGAGTGGGCGAATGTTTATGAGGATTGTGAGTATTTGAAGTATGGGGGGTTTTTAGGAAATTTTAGACACAAATGCATGCGTTGCGGTCTTGGCATAATGGCTGGGTTGGATTGGAGTTATTACATGTGATTTTAATATGTTTAAAATTTAGTTTTGCTTGGGGGCAAGCAAAAGTCAAGTGTGGGGTATTTTGATATGTGCATAATTAGTTAATTATTTAGCATATATTCTTAGTAATTTTTTATTAATTATGTGAATAATGTGGACAAAAGGTACTTAAAATGTTGTGAATTGTGTTTTCAGTCCAAAAGATATGCTTGGAAGCAAATAGGAGAAAAGGAAAGCAATTGAAGATTAAAGAGTGAAAGGAGATATACTCGGCGAGTAGATCGACCCTACTCGGCGAGTACACGAGGATATTCCAGAAGATAAATACGACTGCTGATTCAAGACGGATAAGTATGGATCTACTCGGCGAGTTGATTCTGCTACTCGCCGAGTACACCCTGTTTTGGGATATCTATAAAAGACGAATCCTTATCTCATGGGAAGGGACCCCTGGCGATTTTTGAAGGATTAACTGCGATTAAAAGATTCAGAAGGCGCTAAGGAACCCTAGGCTTCAATAGTTGGAAGAATTCAACCAATTAGGTTAATTCTACCACTTAGACTTAGGAATTGAACATGTTTGCTTTAGTAAACTTTGTTTTATGTTTGTTTCTACTGCAATTATGAGCTAAATTCGTTTTTGTTTCTGTTTGGGGAATACCAAAGAACTCCTATGGTTTAATTATTGATTCCTGCTTAATTGTCTATTGGTGATTTATTAAATTAAGTTTGTTAAAGAACCTTATGTATTAATCACTACTATTTTCTGTTAATTGGAAGGCAATTAGGTTGCATGAACATCACTTAATTGTTAACCTCATATGTCTATGTGAATGCTAAACCATATGCTTAGAAGTAATGATTATGAAACTAAGATTAATAAGAAAATAGGAAGATTAATGTGTGAGCTTGTTTGAGAAACCATCAACAAGAGGTTAATTGAATTAATAACTTAATTAACCATTACAAATCTTATTTAATCCAAATAATTAATCTAGGGAATTAATTAGTTTAAACACTTGATCAACGCTTAAATTAGTTAATTGTCTAAGGGTTAGGAGTAATGAATATGAACCTAACTATTATAATTGGTAACCAATAGCAATTAATCCACCTTGACTTAAATAACCATAGGAGTGAATTGGTTGAACCTAAATAGAAACATCTTTATCAAATTTGGTAAATAGTTGTTGCTTTAGTTAATTAGTTAATTTAGTTTGTCTAAGTTTCTAGTCTTGCAAAACTAGAGAAAAACCCTTTACTTTTATTATTTGTTTTAGTTAAAATTAGCTATTAGTTTAATTTTCCGTTCCCTGAGTTCGATACCTCACTTATCAATCTATACCACTTAAAGACAGGTTCACTGCCTTTGTGTGCTCAAATTATTAATAAAAAGTAGGGATAAAACTAGTTGAATTTACACACATCAGGATACAACAGACTCACAAAAAATACAAGGACTTGACTTTAAGTATCAAAACCAAGATGCCGTGTAAATAGATAAAGTATCGAAATTGAACTACTTTTGACACTAACAGACCCTAACTACATTCGACTTTTTACTATAAACATTTGACCTAACAGAGATTTATGTATCAAACAAAATTGATAAAAGTATATCATGTTATTGTAGATAATCCTTGCGCAATATAAGAAACGGGACCTATAGTAACGAAAATTGTTCTCTCCGTAGGTTCAAAAGTCGTCCCTATAGGTGTTAGGGACGACATGTGGTCCCTATAGTTGTCGTCGCCATAGGCCCGTCATAATAGATCGTTTTTGTCATCGTTATTGATAACGTTGTAATAGGTTACCTTTAGAGACGACATGTCGTCCGTGTTTGTGCGTCGCTATACGTTTCCAATCTCCGTAGATAATGCTATAGAAACACATGTCGTCTCTGTAAATACGGTTATAGAGACAACATGTCGTCTCCATAGATAATGTTATACATTCGACACACATTATCTTATAGCGACAACTCGTCGTCGTAGCAAATGCACCTGTAGAGACAACTTGTCGTCTCTATAGATGTACTTACAGAAACAACGTGTTAACTTGCTCTTTTTTTTCTCTATAATTTCCCAGTTTTCACAATCACAATAAGTAAAGCAATAAATTTATAAAATAGTTAAAATAGTAAATTTAACTGCAAAAACGTTAAGAGTTGAACCTACAAACTTTTTGAAAATTTTCTAGTTTTCTCACACCTTTTTCCGGCATTTGAAGAAACACCATCATAACGTAAAACCAGACTTTTGAAGCATAATATAAAACAAAAAATAACAATAATATGAAACAAGTGATCATGTTTCATATGATGACTGTTTACACCTATAAAACCACACAAAATGTTCATTTTGTACTTGTGGTGTGGTTGAAAACTTTTTAAATCCAATAAAAAAGAAAAAAACAAACAAACAAACCAATCGTATGAATCAAATTTATAGTTGTCACTGTTAACTATTATATTTACTTCTATAATTTAATGATTATTGAAATAATGATCACACATTTTTTACCAACGCTCATCTGGTCGTCCTTTAATAGGTACATATGATTTGAAATGAATTGACCTCTTTATATAACAACAAAGGAACATACACGAGATGAAAATTATTTGAAATTCCACCCTAGTTATGTATCAAACTTTGAAAAACGAAAACAATATCTGATTAGACATTATTTAAAAAAAAAAGATTAAAACCATATATTTATATTATACTTTGATATACTAGAATACATTTATATTATAATTTGATATACGTGAATGTGTCTTCACCCCACATATCATCATGATATAGTACTTTACATAGTGTTATAAAATGCCCTACAAAATGTTTGCCAAAAAGTGTGTGCCCTAGAAAATGTTGTTCACAGTCCAAAGACCAGTAAGAGTGTTTGGTAGTAGTCAATTTCCACCCGCTTGGTCACTTAGATGGACAAAAAGGTCCAACTGGTAGAGAGAGAAACATACATATATCTAGAGAGAGAAACAAAGCCAAAACAAAGGAGCAAAGGGGTCAAAATGTAAAGAGAATGCATGTGTTTTAGTTTCTGGGATTGGGAATTGTTTAAAGACAGTGGCCATAATTTGTAGACAGAATCTAACCCCCAAATATGGTAACACAAAGGATACCGTCACCATTTACCACCATCTCAGCTTCTTCTTAACACCCATCTTCTCTCTCTAAAACACACACGCTCTCTCTCCCTCTCTAAACCCATTATCTGATCATAAGTTTCTTTACAGATTCTCTTCTGTAAAGACTGTAACCAAAAACAAGACACAAGTGGGTTTGGATCTTTGGTTCATCTTCTCTCTCTAAAGCACACGAACTCACACTCACTTACTTTCTCTTCTCTCTTTCTCTAAACCCATGTCTGATCGATCGTAGGTTTCTTCACAGATTCTCTTTATAAAGACTGTACTCAAGAACAAACACAAGTAGGTTTGGATCTTTGCGTTCATCTTCTCTCTCTAGAACAAACACATACTCACACACAAACTGTTGTTAAAAAGTGTGATCCAAGAACGAAACACAAGTGGGTTTGTATCTTTGATTCGAAAAGTGTTGCATGTGTCACTGAAACGCACTTCTTAAGTCTTTTACTTTTGGTGGCTTATGCGATATTCAAACTCATGTCTACTCCTACAAAGCCTCAATCAACACTGCTGTTCATATGCTTGTTCCTGTTCTTGTTCCTCATGTCCGTTTGTACTCTCAAAAACCCTTCAGGTAAGTAACTTGATCTAAAATCAAATATTTTCTCGTTAATTTTCATCATTTTCATATGTTTATCCTTTTAATCTGATTGTTACATTCTGTTCTACAGTTTATAGATCTGGATTGAATTCCAAAATGCGAGATTCTGATCTGTACATCCAGGTGAGGTTTTATGTTAATTATATATACTTTCTTCTTCTAAAATGAATTCATGTTTATAATCTTAAAGTTCAACTTGTTTCTTTTAATGAAAACCCCCAAAAGACTAGACCTTTGTAGCAATCGTAAATTATTTATTAATCTGTCGTGAAGTTAACCCCATGACCAGACGTCGTTAGAGAAACATGTGGTTCGTCCCTACTTGATTTTTATAGATAGTTCTTGTGATGTTGAAAAGGTTTAATTTAGAATCTTAAAGCAAAGAACTATCATGAAAAAATAAAATTATAATTAACTTTTAAATTTTCACAATCAACACATACTTTTTGTTTTAATTGCTATTGACAATCAGCTAACAAATTAATATTTTTACATGTAAATGGCAATTTACAAACGACTATCTTCCGAAGGATTGTAGGAAAACACTCAATCAAACTATTAGTTTTAAATAAAATTTAATAAAAAAATATAAATAATAAAGTAAAATAGGTTTAAGAATAATTTGGAAACAACCTGTATATTTTTTTAAAAACTTCAAATAAAATTTATATATATGTTTTAGGAAAAGTAAAAGTAACGGACGGGATGGGATGGGATGGGATGGGATGGGATAGGGTGTTTGACCGAAATTGGGTACAATAATCTGTGCCACTATCAAACCTAGGGCATATGACCAGATAGGTTTCAATTATAGTTTAATAAAAGCACACATAAAAGTTAACACCTTCTAAAATAATTACTGTTTTTATCTTAAAAATACAAATTTAATTTTATAATTTTTTTATCATTAGTTAGTGAACGTTGTTATTCATAAACTATTAATAGATACACTTTTTTTTTTTTTAAATATTTAATTAGTAAATAGACATCCCTAATTATTTATTGTATATCCTATAATTTCATGTTTTTTGTCAAGTTAGAAGGCTTATAATAAACAGTAAGGTTGTATGAATATAATTATTTATTGTATATTCTAATTGTTTATTTAGTGAATATAATTTTTCAATATGTGTACGTGAGATCAACACCACATATATAAGTGAGATGTAGGTTTATTTAACAACATCACCTAGGATGATTTGTAACTACTGATTCTTTATCTTATCTTATTAAGAAAATATTAAGAAAAAAAATATATTTTTAACAGATCTAATAAATATGTCTCGGATGCATGTTGGGTTAAAATATTAAATGACTTGAAAAAGGTTGACCCTAACCTTACCGACTAAATTTTTTTGTTGTATTGTGTTAGCCCGTTATTTATATGAGTTGAACCTTATATTTAAACCTAATTATTTTGTGTTGTGTTCGAGTCAATTAGCGAGTTTAGAGTTTAACTTTGTAAATGTTTCATATCGTAATAGTTAAAACACTAAACAAGTTGAATCTCATACTTTTTTTTTTAAGTTTTTTTTATAAACAATACAAATCAAGTGCATTGCCTAGAATTAGTATAAAATGACATAACCACATATCTAGATATTTGTTATTATTCCAATTCTCAACATCAACCTTACAAGCACATTGATTATTATGATCTTGAAGATGCTTAATCAATATGCATAAAACAACTTCTTTTTGTGTTTTTTCTTTGGTTGGATTTCATTGTTTTTTATTTGGTTTTGGTTCTGAGTCAAAAGAATGTATTACTCCTAAACTTTTTGGATTTTAGATGTCTGGTTTTCTTTTGAGTCAAACGAATGTATTACTCCTAAACTTTTTAGAATGTATTACTCCTAACTTTAGAGAATGTATTACAAGTATTCATGATTAGTGTTTACTAGACCCGTGATACGATTATGTTGGTTGAGGTGCATAGTTCTATAAAAGAGATCCACGGTTTAAAATCGGACATACCCAAAATATGGCTACTTTGCAAATGCTTGATGATTTACTCTCTAGTAATGAGTTGTACGACGGGTTTAACATGGACTGTCCAAATTGTAATGTTAACGATTTTTCATTCAATAAACGTTTTTAATACTAAATTAAATATTATATTCTTTTAATACAAAATGTGTATTTGCATCATACCCTATCTTCTTTCAAGAGCTTTAATTTATCAACCTAATAAAGGAAGACAAAGTTATTTCCTACTTTCAATTCTTATAAAGTAGTTCAATCATAAATAAAAATAAATGCATTTTTAAAAGGGATTTCAGTACTAATAAAGTTCAATCATAAATAAAAATAAATGCATTTTTAAAAGGGAGTGTAGTTTTAATTTAACAACCAAAAACCTATACCATGTATTTTTAAATAATTAACAAGTTTAAAAATAAAGCTTTTAAAATTAAAGTTGATTGAAAATCTATTCTTGTACGTAAAATTTAGCTCTAAGAAAACTGTAGCAGATGTATTAACTCTAGAAAAAAAATGCAAAATTATTTTTAAAATTGTAGCATATGTATATTGTAAAATATTAGTAAAATTAATTTTAAAATAAGTTTTTGGTAAACCCAGATATCCAACCAAACCAAATGTTAATAGCTATACGAAGGTATGAAAAACTACTTTCATTGAAGTATTTAAATCTCCACCGTCCCAAGATTTCTTAAATGCCAATTCATTGAAATTTTAGGTTTAAGTTGAATTTGTATGCCTTTATTGCCCCTATTTTTTTTTCTTTCTTTCTCTAAATTATTTTTACTTGGTGATGATTAATATCCATAAAACACAATACATATTTTTAATATGATTATTAATTTTGTTTAATATTCTATGATATTTTTATTTCATAATTCAGTAAAGTATGTTTTTATATGATAACAGTATAATTCAGTTTGTAGTTAAAAGTTATGTAGACAATCAATTAATAAAAGTATAACTTAATATTTTTATTATTATTTATTCATATTATAATGGTAAGTTTTATAAAATAAATAAATAGATAATTTTGTTATTTAACATAACTATTTTCAAAACCATTTTGCAACTCAAAGAAAAACTCAAAAATTATGGAATTGACTTACATTCTAAATCTTACTAACCAAACAAAATATGATTTTCAAAATCCTTGCAATATAAAAAACATTTTAAATACAATTTTAAATCCTTGCAAGACTAAAAAAAACAATCTCACAATTCAAACTCCACTTACATACATCAAAATTTGATTTACAATATTATGAAGAAATAGTATTTTTACTAATTTAAACAAGTTAAAAACAAAAATAAGATTAATAAGAATGCAAAACAAAAGAATGGTGTTAGAATGATTATTATTAGCTTGCAAGGCGCACGTTAGCTACTGACCTTGTGACCCCAACACTCAGTCCTTTGGAGAGGGACCCAGCCCCGTGTAAATCGGGGTCATGTGCGCTAATAAGTTCAATTCCCGTGAACCCCGCCTTGTCTCCTATGCTAAGCGCATGTTAGCTACTATCCATGTATACGAGACTGATTTAATGTACTGTACTACTCTTAAAGCATTGCGTAGATAATCTATCTTCATAACTGATATGGCTTTTTTGTGTTGTGATTTGAAAAGGCAATAACCAAAGTCAAAGTCAAAACCACTAGTGAAGAGGAGACTACGTCTCATACCACCACCACCAGAAGAAAATTGGGCGGCCCTGGATCATCGCCGCCACGTTGCGCCTGGAAGTGTGGGCGGTGCACCCCCTGCAAGCCGGTTCATGTTCCGGTGCCGCCTGGAACACCGGTGACCGCCGAGTACTACCCGGAAGCTTGGAGGTGCAAATGTGGAAATAAATTGTACATGCCATGATGCATGCTTATTTGATTGGTATTTACTAGCTAGATCTTTGTTATGTTAACTACGAGGGGGTATCTTGTCATTAATGAATTTAGGAGGAGTTATATTGAAAAAAAACAAAATGGAAAATATATAGAAGCTTCATTAATCTATAGAATATTAATTCTAACTTGGTAGCCTTTTCATTTCATAGTTTCCATTTACTTAGAGTATCAACGAAAGCTTTTTTTATTAAGAAGTTTTGGTGTTACTTTTATATTATGTACATGTTGGGTATTAGTTGTGAGTTAAAAATTGTAGCTTTTAATTATACAGAAGTATGTGTCATAAGTAGCTGGCTTTATTACATGTATAAAATTATTTATAAGTTAGAAGGTAAAAATTTCTCAAAGTGTATTTGAAATAACATTTGGATTCGAAATTTTATGTTTAAAATAAAAAACTAAAACCTCCTGTTCCAAAATTGATTTTTTTTTTTAGCTTTTTTCTTAAAAGTCCCATGCTAAACTCGCCTATGGAAACCTTTTTTTTGTAAATGAGATGGTCATAAGATTAAAAAAAACTATGCAAATGATTTTAATATTATTAGAATTGTCAAAAAAGTCAATATCAGAACTTATAAATAATAATAAAAGAAATAATAAATAAAAAAGTTTTGAGAAAAAAAACTCACAATATATTTTTGACTTTAAAAAATATATATGATTCAAAAAAAATTCTCAATAAGCTCTTATTGTAGATTCACTAATCAAAGACCTTGCTTTAATTACAAACAAAATTACATAATGTTTATAGAATGTATAAACAAATATTTATTCTTAATTCTTATTAAAGTTGCACTTTCACATAAAATAAAAATAGAGCTGGCAATACTAATAAATAACAAGTGAAGATAATTTTATATATAGATCAAAAAGTTGGGTATTTATTTACATAAAATGGTTTGACATCATATATATAACGAAGGGAATCTATTACATAGGGGTATAGGAGGAATGTTTATTTTAGCCGTACCAAAGTGGTTTACACTTGCTTTTTGGTGACAAGTAAACATCCATTTTTCTGTTTTTATCAACTACAGTCTACACACACGTGGGTTCATCGTCTTCACCTACCCATTTTCAAAAATGGGTCCTGGGTGGGTGGTCCGGACCCATGCTAGCCAACATTATTCAACCATGTAATGTGTTGTACGTCGCCATTGCCCCCACCATCGCATTCGTGTCACTTCCATTTGCACAACCAGACACCTGAAAGGCTGCAACTAATCTATCTGTCTCTATCCCTTGGCCTTGGTGTATAGATATAATGGATTGGAATCAAAACATATACCCATGGTTTATATTTGTTTTGTATCAAGGAAGATAATTCACATAGCTTTCAAGTTGGTGTTACATCAAATCAAATAAAAATGGCATCATATTTTTGCAAAAATAGATACCCATGCTTTTATATTTGTTTTATGGCTAATTATATATATATATATATATATATATATATATATATATATATATATATATATATATATATATATATATATATATATATATATAAAAGTATGATTACACCCGTGTGTTTGAACCGATAAAGGAGAACTAGATTAGTCCCTACTTTGATTGATCTATATCGTATGTACTGTGAATATCCGTTCTTGTTTCTTATTCATGTTATTAGGATACTGTTATGACCCATCTAGTATTATGAACTAATCACAAATTATTTAGAATTGACAACAAACGAATTGAGAGATAATATTTATGATTAAATATCCAAAACGTTTTCACAAACAACCAACGTTTAATATAGAAAATTAGATGTTAAGATGCCACAAGATAAGAAATTATATTATTATTGTTACCAAGTTTGTCCAGAAATCAAATTGATCCTACGCGATCAGATCTAATTATTAGAAATGAGTAGAAGCAAACTGTGTTGTCATTGGGATGAATATAAATATGAAACAATAAACTAAAACCAACATGTTTGTAGTTGATATCGATTTGTAGAAACTTGCATGGATCTAACTCTTGTCCTTAAAGGTTTTATTTCGCTTCTATTTGTTGTAAGCAACCGAGTAAACCTTAGGATTTAATGCAAACTTATCGGTTTTCCAACATCAATGGAAAACGATAAACGCAAAAACGAATACTTAGAAACTAGGAGAAATCGCCAAGAGAGAGAGCATTGAATAGGACTCCTAGAGAGTTGTATTTATAGGCGTCGAAACCCTAAAAGGAAGCAAAAGGCCCTTACAGGTCAACCCCTAGAAACCTTAGGGCGATGCATTGCTCTCCAAGCAAGCCGGTTTTCCAGTCCTTCTAGAACATTTCGATGTGAATCGAGGTGCGAGCCCACTATCGAGACCCAATTTATGTGAACCGTATTTTTTCCTACACAACGGATCCCGAACCTGCTAAAAATATAGGCTCCTTAGCTCCCAGTGACCGATGCGTCATGTAAAGTGCCAAGTGTGCCTAAATCATGTCATTTCATGTACTTGAGGCATCGACTAGGCGCGCATGTGTGGGCTTGGCCCATCCCTTGATCCACTAAAGCCTTTGAACTCCTATCAAGAGAAAAGCATTATAAACCTACTACATGTTTCTTCCCCCACCAATGTGGGATAACGTAAACTAGCCAACTTTCTTATTCTATAAAACTTTCCAGCAATCCCCCACCAAGTTGGAAAGTTTCCTTTCACTCATACATATGATGTCACTTGAGTGTCAAGAAGATTAAACCCTAGTTTAATGATGACAAACAAGAAGAGACCAATTTAATCGTATCCTTATAAGTGTAAACCATGAACCTTATGACCTCTCCGGTTTACCCCCACACATCACATGCCATCTTTGCGTTCTCCCTGAGCGCTAATATGGTCATGCGCTATAAATCCTTTTCATGACCCTTTAGAAGATGAATCACTAATCTGATGGGTTTTTATACAAACAATCCTATGTGTGCATGCAACCCTAGAGTTGGATCTATGTTATCACTATTAGTTATACAACACTATGAACACTTGAAGAACCAACAAGCTTCTAGGAATTTCGAAATTCATAAAGAAGGATGAAATACATACCTCTTGTTGTTATATTGTAATAACAACTTAAATCTTGAATCTTCTTGTCTATGAAGGCAAGCACCACAAGTGTCGTGCCTCTAATGGCTCATAAACAAACCTAGCAACCAAGGATTACTATGGAGAGAGAAGGGAAGTGGAAAATTCGGCTCTAAGCCTCTCTTAGAGTGCCTTGGACAAAATCCAACCCTATAGGGGTTTATATAGGTGATAAGGAAGGTTTAGGATAAGGTAGGTGTATCTTAGATAACCCTAATCCCTTAACTTCCTCCCTAAGGCTTCCAAGGCACCCTTAGAGCCCAAGGAAACCCTAGGACACTCTAGATTTTGTTCCCCACCTCTAAGGGAGGTTCTAGAAGGCTTCAATGCTCAACTTTTAAACATTGTCACCTTTAGTCCCTGCAGTTTCAATTAACTTCTCTCTCCAACAATTATCCTATTCCATTTCCAGGTTTGAAGGCAACCCAAAAGGACCATGCACAATCGGGTCAAGTACTTACTAAATATGGTTACGGGCTTAGACACTAATCCAACAGTCTCCCACTTATCTAAGTCTAGTAACCATAAATGCAAGTACAACCCGATTGGCAATCGTAGCTCTCAAAGTCGCTGTCGAACTCTGATCTTATCAGTAACATGTCCTTTAGATAAGGGATCATATATTCCTCCATTCTAGATATCATATAGACGTGAGACATGGATTGAAATCATTCTCTCTGTCTATGTGTTATTTCCCGATTTCCGATTTACGACGAATGACTAATTGAACAAATCAAATTACCCCTAGCCCGGCCGAGCATTTACGTTTGTCATCACTAAATCATCGAGGGGCCCACAGATATCACTTTTATCCTACTTTAGGTAAAAGGAACAGATAAACTTCGACTCAATGCTTGCTTGCACTAACTCACCAAATCACACACAACAATATGTTTTATAACACCAAGTTACTGGTGTGTTTACATATTATCAATGTCTAACCAATTCACAAGATACAACTCACACATCTTGGTTTCAAGAATACAAGATATTATCGTCTCACCAATCGCTCGTTATAAAATCCATGAAGTGATCCAAGTGAGCGTGGGTTTAATCCAATGCTCAAAATCATATTCATAAGCACTCATGAACGTTGCAGCAAACCTTTGCTATGTCTAATACACTTTAGACAATCTATAAACCAATTCATGACAGTCTTCATTCATACCTACTTCCAAAGTATAAATGATTGTGGACCATTCGAATAATTTGATTATTCTGAAATAATTAATTATTCAGGAAGTCAAAACATGCAAAGTGAAACACAAGAATAATACTAATCCTATATGGTCCCAAACCTTTGAGTATAAATAAAAAACCTTTTATTTATCACCATATCGATTACTCATTATTTGTTGTTTCAATTAATTAACTTGTTACTTGAATTATTATTACAGTTGTCCTGTGACAACCCGAAATTTATCCCATCATTTTTACCCTTATTCCGTTAATAAAACCCGCTTTATTAAATTGTCCGTTAACCTTTTGGATTAGGTTAATTAAAAATTGGACTTTATTATGACTTCACAAGGGTTGAAACAAATTAGAAACACCCTCAATTTTCCCCTTGAAAAATTTTAGTTTCAACCAAGTCAAATTGCGACCATTTAATCGAGTGCGACCAAAAACCCCATTTAACGTCAGTATCGGGTAAATTTCCACTAAGCCACAAACTCAACCACTATATAAAGGTGAGTGGACTCCATTTGAAGCTTTTCCACCCTCTCTCTACTTTCTCTCTCTACAAGTTGGGTTTGGTGAAAAATCGCCCCGACGAGCTTCAAAACGGTAAGTTAACCTTCCTAGCTTGTTGTTTAGCTTATCACACTTGCAAATTCGAGGCTTAAACATCCAAAACCCCCAAGAACAAGAGTTTACGGTTTTGGAACATCCTAAAACTGTAAACACCTTGAAAGAGGGTTTTGATGCCCAAAAACCCTTCCAAACCACTTCCAATGCTTAGTTATGACTTAGGGGCTTACATGAAAGGACTTAGAACACCAAAATCTTGACTTATGGGGAGTAAACATGAGTTTACGGTCTAAGAAAATTCTTGGACCGTAAACCCATCTTCAAGGACCAAAAACACCCCCAAAGGGTGTTGAAGTGCCCTTAACACTTTGTATGGCTTAGAATTGGACCTAGAACTTTG